GAATTTTGAAAGTTTGAGATACCGGGGCCGTTACCCGACTTTGGCTAAGAAAAATTGATTGGAGCTACTTAGGAAATGGCTACGACAAACTTCAGAATTGGACAAAAATTCAGAACACAACTCAGAAGCCCCCCCCCATCAATCCTCTTTACCTCACTCCGGCAAGACTTACTGCAGCAGAGCCATCATCTCCGCTGCTGTTGTACCCTATTTCCATCCTACCAGCTAGCCCCCGCACTAGTAGGACGCTTGATATCCCACCATCTACTTCTCCCACGCGCCTCTTTTTTTCACCATTCAGAAAAAGACACAGACACCCCCAATCCATTCCCTGTACCCCACTCCGACAAGACTTACTGCAGCAGAGCCACCATCTCCGCTGCTGCTGTACCCTCTTCCCGTCCTACCAGCTAGCCCCCTTACTAGTAGGACGCGTAATATCCCACCTTCTCCTTCTCCCACTCACCTGGTCTCTTGCGAAACCATCTGAGCAATACGAAAAACATGGAAATAGACCGCATAGGTCCTACCGATGCTAAAAAGCCCTTGAAATCCCTAACAAACCCTTCCAAAGCACTCCAACACTGTCCTACTCCCTGCCGAGTTCTTCCAGGTCTCACACCCCATCATCCTGCTGGGTTACAGGGTAACACGACACATCCCAGCTCCGACCAGCGTCGTCCCAGCAGCAACCCTTAGTTGTTCCATAGAATGCCTACCCCAAAGCATCCCCAGATCTCTCTACCGGGCCGCACGCTCCTGCATCAGCAGGTCACAGGGCAACACCCCAGCACCGGCCAGCGTCGTTCTGGCATTGAACAGTCGCAGGTCACTGAGTATAACAGCATCGAAGCCTCCTAAGAAGAGTTGCTAGGAATCCCCAGAGTCCAAAAACATTCTTAAGACCACCAATCAGCCATCCGCGTATGGCCAACCTTGAGATCTCTATTTTGAGATTTTTTTTATTTTTTTTTTTCAAAAGATGAAACCAATAGATAAGCAATCCCATAATGGTTAAAAGCATACTTCAACTATTTGTCTTTCTTCGATGAGCCGACCTCCTCCACCACATAGTTCAAAGATGAAGAATAGAAGTAGTCCGCCGAAAAAACTTTTGAATGAATTTTACTGGTCAGCGACAATCAACAGAATCAGCCTCCCTCTTCCCTTCAACCCCCTACTCTTCTCATCCCCCGACGAGCCGACCTCCTCCACCACATAGTTYGCGGGATGAGAACAGCAGCCACAACCACACACCTTCCTCAACACATTCCTCCTCTCACGACGAGCCGACCTCCTCCACCCATAGTTCGCAAGAGGAGAAATGGCACAAATCAGGTGAACACCCTCACCCTAATAAGTGCAGCACTCACCCCACTAACCTCTTACCTCTCTCCAACAAAACTTATACCAGTTGAGCCACCATCCCAGCCGTGGCTATACCCTAATCCAATCCCATTAGCAAGACACAATCTCACGGACCTTAAACCATTCCCCCCAACCCCGGTACCACACCACCTCGAAACACCTGACTCATAAAACGTAAACAAGCAACTCAGAAATCAAAAAGTTATAAAAACCTAGTAGTCATATAAGGCATATAAATCCCACAAGAGGAGAGGACGGAAGGGAACTTTTTCTCTCCCCATGAAAATTTTTGTGTCTATTCCCGTCTCCGCTGGTGGTAAAAGCTCACAAGAAAACGAACAACTTACTCCCCCCCCCCAAAAAAACGACCTTCTTCCCTTTCACTGCCTCCACTGGAAGGTACCCCTCACCTTTCAGCCCCAGTTCAGAGCAGCCCCCTAAATCTCTCCTGCTCCCTCAACAACATACAATACCTCCT